CAACAACCGGTAAGTAGATAACTCAGGGCTATAGTCATCCACCTAAGAACACTAAATTGATTTTGCCTTCGATGTTGAATAGGATAATAATTAACTATAACTCCAGTTCTAGTTAACCATCTATTCATTATCTGCAGGACATTATTTTTGCACAACAACACTAAAGTTACAACTGTAACCAGTGGTTTGCTCCGATTTTGATTATTACATTGTTTAGTTTACCTAAAATAGTTTTAACCAACAAGATGTTTTTCTGACCAATTTATTCTTAGAATCTATCCAAAGTCTATACAACTGACAGCAGTTCTCCCACAAACTCTTACATCTTGACTGTGTACTGAGGCTCTTTAAATGCCTGTAGCGTTCTCGCACTTTCTGAACCACTTTCTGAAGCGGTCGTATGGTGTCACGGTAGTAAGGCTTCACACATCATCAATTTTGGCCCCTCCCCTAAATGAATAAACACCAGACACTTGCTTTGGGTAAACACCCCCTCCATTACTCGACACATGCCTCGAATCCTCGGCTCATCTCATGACATAATCACTAGGATCAAACTCCACTCCGGTATCCTGCTACCAAGCCACACCACCCAACTCCATCATCTCCAGCTGCTGCTCCAGTAAGCTTGGCTTCCTTCTTAACCTCCCCTGCTTCAGGAGAAGCTAACAACTTTCCTTGTTCATCTGAGAATCAAATAAACTGTCATTTGCTCCTATCTCCGGGCTTGGTTGTCTGGATTCTGGATCCAGCACCTAGGATACAACAGAAGCTTTCTCTTTCCGATTCTTTCCTGTGAAGATGTATTAAGTAGCCATTTTTCGTCATCTTGTTGTCTAGGAGCCCTTTATTACCTCAATAATTTTATTTCACTGCATGTTGCCTAACCAGGCTTATCCACACTCCCCAGTAGAGCAGCATTTTAGAGAGAGATACGGTATAGAGGTTGAATAAAAAGCACAGAGAGATGGATGATGAGATGAGCACACTTAAATGTTTGTTAGAAATATCCTTAAGTCCCATTCAGACAAATAAACATGTACTCATTCACCAAGAATCATGTTTTACTTCCATTCTTCTCTGTCCAGATCTCTAGGTTTATGTTATTTACCGTCCTTTCATCAGTACCTGGTGGGCCTTTCTCTGCTCAAAAGGCCAAAAGTTTGTTCCAGACCCGCCGGATTCAATCCCAGGAATTTTAAATTCGTCAAACATATCAGTTTAATTGTGATGTAGTTTAAACCCCATTCTTACAAATTACATATCTAGTGTTTTGTTTCCTTTGCTCTTGTTTGTTCAAAGAACTAAACTAAAATCTAACTCGATTAACTGTTATCATTTATCCAACCCTGTTAAAGTCAGCCTTTTTATTTGCTACACCGTTATAGGTTTTGTTTAAAACAACACGTTTGTTGAAGACACTTATAAAACATAAACTTCTTAACTAGTGTTTGACTTACAGTGTATTTTCATCTAGCATAATAAGTTACCATGTTTTACTTGGCAGTCAAAATGTTATAACTTAGAATCAGACAAAACCAAGGAGCTAGTGGGGGATTCCACCCCAGTGACACCAGTAAACATCCAGGGAACGGACATTGAGAAAGTGGACTCTTCTTAGTACCTTGGTGTTCATCTAAATGACAAACTAGACTAGACTAGACAACACTGAGGCTCTGTATAAGTAAGGTGAGAGCAGACTCTTCCTGCTAAGGACAGGGAGGTCTTTTTGGAGTGCAGGGGGCGCTCCTTAAGACCTTCTATGACTTGGCATCAGCTTCTATGGAGTTTTCTGGTGGAGCAGTGGCTTATCTGAAGCTGAGAGAAAGTGGCTGGATCAGCGGATCAGGAATGCCAGCTCTGTGATTGGAGGCCCTCTGGACTCAGTGGAAGTGGGAAAAAAACAGATCCTAACTAAATAAACATATATTTCTCCATCCCCATGCATAAAGCTGTTGCAGAGCTAGAGAGGTCCTCCAGTGACAGACTGCTGCTCCCTAAATGCACCAGGGAACATTATCACAGATCCTTCCTCCCAGCAGCTGTAAGACTTTATAACCACCAGTGTTTCAAACAACCTTAATTAATAAGTTGTTCCATTCATGCTGATTTTTGTAAAGTTTCTACCTTAGCGAGTTAAATTACATGCTGCTGTCATTTTGTACATCTCTGATATTGCTGCTATTTTCAAATATCCATTACTGTAAAAACGTCCATATCTGGATATTGGTTATTTATTCTCCAGGTGCACAGTATTCATATTATTAAAACACTATATACTACCATATTTTATTGTTTATCTCTTAACTTTTAAAAGTTATGTTATTCTTAGATATTTTTCCAAGGTCCACATTTGTGTGACCATTTTTTCTATAATATTTTGCTTCTGTAAACCCAAGAATTTCCCCATTGTGGGACAATAAAGGATTTTCTATGGTATGCTATTCTATTCTGCACAGGAATGAGGCATCTTCTCCAATCAATGTTATTATTTTTATTTTTTTTTTTGCTACTTGGTTGAGCTGCTGACAAGATACTACTATAGTGTTATAAAGTTTGCAGTTTTGTTGCTGGTGATTTATTTTGCTTAGCTTAAAAATAAACATCTGGCATCTGTTAATAAAGGAACTACTTCTGCCAAAAGTCATGTATTCCGAATAAATAAAATCATTCTTGTACTCATGCACTGAAGACAATCCATGGGGAATAGGTCAATCTATCATCATCAGATTGTGTCTCCAGTTACAGGAAAAGGGGGAGGGAGCCTAAGAAGTTTATTAAGAACCTGATTGGCTGAGAACGTTCACGTGTTTATGAGAAATTTTATATAGTGGCAAGACACTATGATATGTTAAAAAATCTCTGAGTGAAATGTATGAGATGATGGCAGCTGTTAGTTTTTATTTTTTTTTTTTCCCATTTGGCACACAAGACATCACATTTGTTAAATACTTGTTTCTTTAAATTAAGTCTCTCAAACATTTATTTCTATGATTCTATCATTATTCAGTGTAGACCTGCAAATGAAACTTCAACTGTAATGAAGACAGAATATGGGGCTACCAAATAAGCTTTTAAATTTTACAAAAGCCTTAAGGCTTTAGATGCAAAACGTGTGACACAATGGCACAATGTGCAAGCAAATGTTAGTGTCCTCTCATAACAAAGGTGTGCTTTCACTCAGGTCTTCAGTGTTTCCAATGCAAATGCCTTCTTTCAAAAAAGTCCACCTTTCTTAGAATAATGAATAACTACCTCACAGTCTATTGCAGATTCCATATAAAACCTGAGCATATTTACTTGATCCTTTATTATAATATTTATTTTTAAGAACCATGTACAGCTTCTGATCCCTGGTATAGAATATTTACTGCAAGCTGTTTAAAGACTGAATTAGTATTTCTACTAGAGCAAATTAGTATAAATAAATCAACTAAGAACCCAAATGTTGTTATGTTATGGAAAAAAAAGGGAAAAAAAATACTTTTTGACAATATTTGATGACCAAAACCAAAACACCAGACGGTCCATTTTATTGCCACATGTTTTGAAGAACTAACCTGGAAAAGAAGGGGTTCAGTGTAACATTAGCAGCTGGATGTGTCATTCGTTGTAATACACATTTTAAGGAGAAATAATTGTTTGTGTAGCCTACAGACTTTGCAAATCTGCTCAGTGTTTTATAGACATCATTTTCCTACAGGTTGTCATGGCAACCGGCTTTGCATGTTGAAGAGAATAGATAATTTCCCTTGTATAAAACAGAAAGCCTTTTAGAGAGTGATTATAGCATCAGCGCTTTCGACTGCAGTGCTCAGCTTAGCATCATGATGGAGAAGATCTTGCTGGGACTCGTGTTTCTTCTAGGTGAGTGACTTTGAGTTTATATCTGGTGATTCCAAAAAAGAAAATTAAAAACAATCCACTGTAATTTGCTTCCAAGTTTGAAGACGTTTTGTTTCCCATCCAGGAAGCTTTTTCAATTCAAAATGTTGGGAATAGCGTTGAGTTCGAGGCTTTATACAGTAGGCTATCAAAACCTTGTTTTTGTTTTGAAAACATACAAATTGAAACTGATAAAGGGGTCCACCCCTTTGGAATGGGGGTCGTTTGGCTTCTTTTGTTAAACTGCAATTCCCCATACCTGTCTAAGTCTCTGAAAGGGAGGTAGTTAAAGGGAATTGCTGGCCTGGCTAAAAAGTCAAGGGCCTCCACTCTCCTGTACAGAGGCGAGGGCTGTGATCGTAGTGTGAAGTGATTAACTCAATTGCTGCATTGTAGGTTTTAGAAAGCGTCCACCCCCTCTGTTTAAGGTTATCTTTTCTTTCTTAACATAGATGGCTTCCTTTAAGCCCGTCTCAAACCACCTCTGTCAAAAATGTGAACATTCTGCCCCTCAAAATAATGCGCTTTTTCTCTTTGTTTTTGTTTCCAAACTTTTCTTTTTTTGTAATGACTATGAACTGGATGACTGAGAATCTTAGCCAGCATTTAAATCTGGTGGTACTTAAACCTTTTAGGGAAAGCATCACTGAATGATGAAAAATCACATTTTTTAAATATCTTCCAGACTGGGTTGTCCTCTCCACCTGCCTCCTTCCTCAATACTATTTTGTTAATAAATTGTTAAATTGGACTGAAGCTCAGACCTACTGCAGGCAGAGGCACACAGACCTGGCTACCATCCTAAACTCTGAGCAACAGAACCAACTAATCGCAACGCTTACATCTGCTGGACACAGCTCTGACGTCTGGATTGGTCTGTTCAGTAAAATCGACTGGAAATGGTCTGATGGTTACACTGGGAGTGGAGCTGACTACAGAAACTGGTATTGGAGTTACCCAATATGGTATTATATTAATGACTTATGTGTAGGATCACATTACCATGGGGGATGGTTTGATAATACCTGCACAGGACATCGCCAGTTTTTATGTTACAAAGGTAGAAATAGGAATTATGACTCGCCATTCTTTAAATCATTATTATAAAACATAGAATCCCTGCTTAACATTATCCTACATTGTCGTCACCAACAGGCTCACACTTGGATCCTGAATTTGTTTATGTGAGTACAGCAATGCCCTGGTCTAATGCACAGACATACTGCAGAGAAAATTTTGTTGACATGGCTATTATAAGAAATGACACAGAGTACCAGAAAGTCCAGAGCCTGATACCTTATGGTCATTATCCATGGATTGGTCTATATAGAGAGCCAAATCTTCAATGGTCTAATGGGAGCAGTATCCTCTTTACCAGCTGGGATACCAGTGGTATTTTTATTGGCTCAATGAGAGTCATATGTGGTGCTACATCTACTGGGAGATCAGGAAGATGGAAAATGTTGTCCTGTGAAACAAGATTACCATTTGTCTGCAACGGTCCTCCTGGTGAGTGTGTTTTAAATTTAAAAAGCGAATATAAGAAGCTGCTTTTAATAAGTATCAGGCATGTCCTGATGAGTATAATTTTTTGTTCTCTTTTTGGCAGAAATGTATCTTTCCAGACTGAGTTGCTGTCTAAACTTGACTTACTAGTGATTTATAATTTACTTCTCATTTTACTTCTTGTTCTTGTTATTCCAAATTTTATTGACAGAAATGGAAAGTTTCCAACTGGAGTTTTTCAAAGTTAGAATCAATACACTTATCTAACATAGATTAACTAGGTTAAGACTGTAATGTTTTCACATTACAATAGCTGGTGGTCTATCTCTAAACCTAAAGAAACTACGTACAGAGGCCTGCCAATTGGGCTCAGCGCTGCAGTGAGGAACTTCAAGATCCGCCGTCATTGAATCTGGGTGGCAGTTGAAGGCAGCAGTCGGGGTCTGCTAATTCCTGGAATCCTAACCTGCCCTTAAGGGGAACAAATTCAAACAGTAAAAACAAAAGAAGAGGAAAGGACCATATTTTTTAATTACCATAATTTCTCGAATTTAGATCGCACCTCTCAACAAAGTTTTTTTTCTCTAAACTTAAAACGTACACACATAAGCCAAACATGGCTATAATCTGTTGATATCTACTGAACTGGCCCCCTGCAAACCCATAAGGGGAGCTCTACATCTCACCCCTAATGTAGGGAATAACAAGAATGCTAACGTTCATTAGCTTCCCGGCTTGCGGCAGTAAGAGCTTTTTTTTTTTTAGTAAGCATGTAAGAGCTTCTAATGAAAGATGGTGTTTCGTCAGCTCTTCATTTCAGCTCTACAGGAGCAGCGCATAGTCTCTAGATTGGCTTAATGCAACAAATAAATGTCACAATGTGTGAATTCTAGACACTTGTTCTCTTTTGTGCTGACTGCAAGAACCTGCTTGTGCTAAATAAAAATGAGCCCTTTCTTGTTTGATTTCCAACTCTAACTTCCGCACCCTGGAAAAATGGGGATTGGAAAAAAGTAGGGGCTTATAGTCTGGAAAATACGGTAAGAAAATATCATGTACATCTTATTCAGTTTTTATGGCTTTGAGCAAAAAAATGTATTTGATTTTAAAAGAGTAGCTCTTCATCCACAGGAACAAGAGGCTTGAGGCACTTAAAGTGCGATCAAAAACTACAAATACCCATCCTGTTGAGAAAATAACATCAAGGGAATATGACACTGGATTTTAACTGCCCTTAAAACAATTACTAATTTTATAACTTACATCCCTGTGAAAGTATTTTATACTTATGTATTTCAATGTATAAAAAATGTACTATAATGAAAAATCCCTTCTTTTAAATTAGTTACAAAACAGGTGGTGAGGCTTGGACTTCATTTGGAGGACTATGTGGATCTGAATGACCGTGTTCTAAGAGGAAGCATCCTGATGAAGGCAAGTTTGAAATCAGGATTGTTTTTATAGCCAAATGAATAATGAAATCTCTCAAAATGAAAAAGTCTCTGCTTTTGTGTCTTCCAATTTGATCCTACAGCTCCAGAACAAACTGCAGGAGAACGGAGTGAGTGGAGTTATCCTAAAGTGGAGAGAGCAGCCTGATGGGAAAGTCTTCAGAAAGGAGTAGAATCTAGTTTAAACTAAGAAATATGAAACCTGTTTTCTTCTTCCGAGGCTGAATAAAACAATTGTATCATTTAGAATTATATGATTTACTAATACCCTGTTTGCTGCTGTGCAAATTAATTATTGTGACAGCGTGAAAAATATCTCAATTTTGTTAGCACAATAATAATAGTATGTTAACACTTCTGCAAGTTTGAGTGCCTTAAATATGGTGGGGGGTTAGAGTTGGTAAAAATGAGGAAAACAAATATTTTTGTCATGGTTTACAGCTGTTTGAGTTTTGTTTTTACCTTTCTGGGTTTTTTTTTTATAATTTCTTGTCGTATATGATTTTGAGTGAAGTCTTGCTGGTTGTGGTTCTTTATTTTTTCAATATGCTATTTTAATATAGGTTAATTTCTCTAAGTTTTGTTTCTTAATTTCTGTTTTCTGTAAACATGGCTTTATTATTTTATTTTACTTCAGACGTTTTAACTCATAGATTCTAAGTTCAGCTCCTTCCGCATTATCTTTGTTAATTAATTCCTTTGCCTGCTTTCCTTTCTCAAGATTTTGGTCTGGTCTTCCACATTTCCTCTCAGTGAGCTTATTTGGTTCCATTGTGTTGAACTTAGAACTTACACTGAGCTCTATATCATTACCCTGAAGCGACCGTTGCGCTCGATGAGCACTAAGTGGCTCTTGAGTGTGTTTAGTCTTAAGAGGAAAGTAAAATACATTACTGATGTTTGTATTGAAATAGTCCTTTGGCCAACGTCAGCCAATGACTTGAGCCAACCTCTCGAATGAACTGAAGAGACAAGTATAAACACAGGTAGTACTAAAGTCTGCAGGGAGGGGAAACATGAAATCACAAAACATGCGTTATGGATAAATGTTATTCTTCCAAGTTAATTTCAATGTTGAACATTTGTTACTATGTAAATCAATGTGGTAACCGAAAGCAGGTGTAAAAGTGTAAAAGGCAAAAACAAAAGACAATTAACACAAGAGAAATTGAAAGCTTGAACACCTAGTTGACAATCTTGAAGGGGGCTCAGAGATATGGTAGAATATCAATGATTAAAACAGCATCAACATTAAAAGGACGAAACGATTGAAGATGTTTGAGGTCTGTGGTCGGAAAATATAGATTTCTTTTATTTCATATTTTGAGTTGGGCTATTTAATCACTGAAAAAAGATTTTCCCTTTGTCAGTTTCACCTGCAAGGAGGGCCGCTGGAAGTACTTTTGAACAGGGGGCGCCGTGAATTTTGTTTTGTTTTGTTGGACAAAACACCTATGAGCCTATAGGCCTATTGAAAATACAGTAAAAATAAATACGTAAACAGACTGAGATTCATTACGTTATTGTCTTATACACTTCAGTGCACGCAATCAGAGTCTGTAAGACACAGACATCCTCAGTTCTGAGGTGAATATACGTGCTATTAAGTAAACTTCACAATAAAACTATAACAACATAGATTTGGTCAGCTGGCATAAACCTGAGTCACTGTGTTTGTGTCACACTTGACTCTATTAGCTCCAAAATCCTTTTACACAAACCACAAGGAAATACTTATATTATTATAGTATTTAAACATTATTGAAGTTCTCCATAGTCATTACACAAACAACCCAAGATCAAAATAACACTCTAAAGTACTATGGTTACATTAAACTACACAAATAGATATGACAGTGCGCGGTGGCACTATCCTCTTACTTTAAGCTACAGGTAAGTCCTCTGGTCACAGTTTTTAAAATGTTGAGGGGCGCTTTGGCTCATGGACATAAAGTCTCTAATGAGTGGACAAGTGGCAAACTGGATACCACTAGTTTGCTTGATGTTGCCCGACAACAGCAGGTGCCGCAGCACCCCCAGTTCCCATGGCCATGATCTGTAGAGCAGAACTTTAACACCCTCAGACTGATAAAGACTATTAAAAGAGTTTTTACCCTTTTTAAGCCGATTCTCCAGTCGTGCGAGCATTTTTTGTATCAGGCCAAGTCTTAGCCTCATCGTGCATCCTGCGTCATGTAGTATACATGGTGTAAGGAGGAAGGATTAGCCTCTCACTGTTTCAATGTGAACTGTTTTCCGCACTGACCTTTTTGTATGTTACACCTGGGACTTAGCCAGGGAGGACACTCATCTTTGGGACTCTGGTTCCGTGTTAATAAATCAACAGCCCTGTTGGGCTAGAAAGGTATATACTGTAGTCTGTTTGAGTTTATTAAAGGCAGAATGTAACACTCACTACCACCTCAAAAGAAATGTGTTGCAAAAGGTCTGTTTTGCAGCAGTTTGGTTCTGAAAGGTCCATGATGACTTATGTTTGAGGATTCTGGAGATCTGGATTTCCCCTGGGCCTTGGATCTCCACTGTGGTGGAAGCAGACCCCAGCAGACCCCAGCTTCATGGGCAAGGGAGAGGAGGCAAAAAGAGAGAGATCCTGGGTCCTCTGGTTTTGTTCTGTTCTCACAGACAGGGGGCTGGCAAGTCACACCTCTGTGGGAGGTCCTGTGGAGGCCTGGCTTAAAAGGGGGGTTGGAGAAATCTAATAGCTGTTCATTCACCAAAGCTGCGTTTCCTTCTCTGGTCATCATGTCAAGATGAAATATGGACACTGGTTCCCAATGTCCAAAAAGCAGGTTCATGGCATATGGCACAACAATCAGAAGCGAAACGTCTTCAAACTTGGGAAAAAAAAAGTCCAGTGGATTATTTTTTTAACTTTTGTATTTCCTGAACATAATGTTCAGGAACATAATGTTGGCTTAGCATGAACAGACTACCAACCTAAACAACCCTCTTTAAAACAAAACTAGTATAAAATAGTGATTATTTTCACCATTTTGACATTAGCCAGCAGGCCTTGCGGCTACTCCAGGCTCACAAGCAGTTTGTGATGAATTTTGGAAACAGGAGATGAGCACCTCGTCTAATGCCCCACCAGACTTACTTTTAATTATTATTTAGGTAGCACACACTAATCCTCCTTACCTTATTTTATTATTATATCTTAATTGTACTTTCAATCTCATTTTTCTCTCCTCTGTAAACCGCAGGAGACTTTCTCTAAAGGGATTAATAAATTAATTCTGATTCTAGTTCCTGAAGCCCTTTAGCAGAATTCGTATGAGACATTTTAATCTAGATTAACCTTGATTAATTCCAAGATTACAATGAGATTCATCTAGATAAAAAATGATCTATTGTCATGAATCGCGGACAGATGGACCCAGTATTCAGGAGAGACAGTCAGTAGGAAAGTTCAAAAGGTTTATTAAAATAAAAACAAAACAAAAGCGATGCTGTGGCTCGCTGACACTGCAGGCGGGGGGCGGGGCACCGCCCAATCTCAGACACTCTAGGGGAGGAAACAGGTAAGTGACCACGATAAACTGATATATGATTATCTGGGTTTGTCACTTACCTGGTTTAACAGTCCAGACCACGAGTGTCCCCAGTGCTGCAGTCCCAGAGGTCATGCTGGAAGCTGATCCTGGTGAGGGATCCAGAACAGACAGGAACAGACAGGAACAGGCGGGGTCCAGATCCGGCAGGAACAGAGACAGGTGGCAGGATCCAGACTTCCAGACATCCACAGGCTTCCAGGAGAGTTCAAAGTCAGACTGGGACCAGAAGCATGACCAGGTGGTCACGCACAGGAGCAGACAGGATCAGGTGCAGATGAGCAGGCACAGTGGAAGAGGGTAGCCGAGACTGGATGAAGGAACCGGAACTTGAAGCAGGACTTTAAACTGGTCTCCTTCCTGGAGCCAGGCTTACTTGGATAAAAACTGACCCCCCCCCCCCCCATAATGAGCCAAAAACCCAGAGGACCCCACAGGGGAGGAACAGTGGACAATCAGGAGAAGAGACAAACACTAAAACCCTCTTTCCACTGGCAGCTAGGATCCAGGACATGAACCAAATAAAAACTGAACAGAAAGACAAGCAAAGATCTGGCACTGAATGCTCAGGCTGAACTGAATATAAACCAGAGGAAACAGGTGAGAGGAATAAATTATAATGAGGCAGGGAGGGAAGAGGGCAGGTGAGAGGAATTACTAATTAAGGGAGAGCAAACAGGCCAGATCATGACATCTACGGCCAGCACTAATTAGAACACTATCATAAAAGAAAACAAATAACTGAAAAGCAAAACACAAACACCTCTAAATTAAAAAATGGGATCAAAAATGTATATTATATATACTACTATACATATTACACTCAAAACCACCACAATTTAATTAAAAAATTTTAAGTTTACAGATGAAGAACATATTGTGTTCACATCGTTTAGAAATCTTTCACATCATTACAATAATGGATTAGATTCGTAGCAACCAGGTTATTAGCAATCACTATATTACTGAATAATAAAAAGTAGTTTAGGTTTCATATTTTTTGGTTTGAAATTCTTTCTTGTCCTTTTTCTTCTGATTTGAAGACTTTCCCATCAGGCTGTTATCTCCACTTCAGGGTAACTCCACTCACTCCGTTCTTCTGCAGTTTTTTCTGGAGCTGCAAGATAAAGTTGGAAGACATAAAAAACGTAGACTCTTTATTATCTCTATATAAATTTGAGATCAGGTGTACAGTACTGACTTCAGACTTGCCTTTTTGAGGATCTTTCTTCTTACAACAGGGTCATTCAGATCCACAGAGCCATCTGCATGAAACCTGAGCCTCACCACCTGTTTTTTCATTACTAAATTAAAATAAAGGAAATAATGAATAGCTTGAGTGTTCTTTTAAGAGACACGTTCTTATATGTTAAAAGAAATAAGTAGTGCATAATTTAACACTTTATAGTGTAAGTTTAAAATGAATAACTCTATTTAGGGCTGTTCCAATCCATTCTGAAAAACCCATGATAAAAATGTCTTAACTTGAAGGTATCAGTTCCTGAGGCCTCTTGCTCTTGTAAGTAAAGAGGTGCGCTATCTCAATCAAAATAATTTATAAATGTTGAATGAATTTGAGTTGTTTTCCTCTTTTGTCGCTTTAATTTGTTGAATTTATTTACATCAAAGGCAGGTTTGGCTTCCAGGAATTAGCAGACCAAGACTCCTGCCTTCCACTGCCACCCAGATTAAATGGCAGCTGATCTTAACATTCCTGTCTGCAAGTGGTGGGCCTGCATGAAGAGCCTTTCCAGATTTTTGGGTTGAGCTCAGCAACACAGAGATAGACCATGAGGTTTTACATTGTGAAAACATTACAGTCTAAACCTGGGTAATTTATATTGGAGAAGTACATATATTCTTCCTCCAGA